ACGGCAGAGAGCTCGGTGGAGTCTGAGCTCAGCCCCCCTGGCTGCCCTGCCCGGTGCATTGAGGTTGACCTGTGAGACGAAGTGGGCTCTCCCTCTCCATGCTCAGTTTCTTCCCCGGAAATGGGGTCACGATAGCTGTAATTCTAGGGGGGCTCTTGTTGCAGCGTGCGAGAGCAAGGGTGGGAGCGAAGGGCATTTAGGCGTGCGCGCCTGGTCGTGTGGGAGTGGCCGCACAGGGTGGGAGGCGTGTTTCTTTAGCTCTTCCCCGGTGGATCGAGAGCATGTGCCGGGCAGTCGATTCCCACTGACCTGTGACTGAGCAGCTACTGGGTGCTGGCGCTGCGGGTAGCCTGGAAATCGGGAAGCCCTGGCGACCCCCCGGTTGCTCTGGGTCCAGCTTGTGGGGCGCAGGCCCTTAATTCATCCGGGCTGCTGCCTCGCTGCGCTCTGGGAGGGGCCTGTTTGCCGTAAAAGTTTGAGCTCAGCGCTCGCCGGATACGTAGAAGTAAAAGTGTGCTTGGAATTGTGGCAAGAAGCGGTAATTGTTCCCAGCTCAGCTCCTCGCTCCGTCCAGCACATGGCCCCCCTCCCGTCCCGCTGCCTGCCCCCAGGATCCAATTAGGAGATTTTCCAGCCAGCTAGAGCTGCGGGGGTGTGAGCGCCAGCTCCCTCGTCCGGGAACTCTGGACTGGCCTCGTCGCGCCTTCCTGGAGACGGGATGGCGCGGCTGCGGTGGGATTCCCCTCTGAGCCATCCCTCTGTTGTCAGCTTGCAGCACGGGCCGAAAATTCTCTCGGTGACTTCACCTCCGTGCCTTCCTGTCCAGCCTCCCCCAGCCTGCAGTGAGAGTGGCCGAGGCTGCTAGTCCTGGAGTTAATCTTGGCCGTGGCACGCGTGCAAACACGGCGCGGAGGGGGTGCAGGAACCTTCCGGATGTATCGGGGGTCACCTCGAGGTCACCAGAGCCCTGGGCTCAAACCCAGAGCCTCCTCCTTCACAGCCGGCGGCCCCTCCAGCGCTCTGCCTCTGTGCCCACGGCTGGGGCGCGCGGACGGCAGCCTTCCAGCTGCCACGAGCTGCCGGGGCTGTGTGGACCCTCCACTCTGTGATCCGGCTTCAGTCCTCTTGGGGAGGACAGGCACGGTGTTCCCGGGGGACTGAGAGGAGAGACCCGGGGCCTGCGCTCCAGGGTGGGAGGGTTGAAAAGTCCTGACTCTTGGCTCAGTTACAATTACAGCAAGCTAACTACCCCTACTATGGCCGCTGCTGTTACTGCTGTTATTTGTTACGGGCTAAATTACGTGCCTACAAAATCCACACATTGAAGCTCTAACCTCCGGCAGCTCCGAGTGTAACTGTACTTGGAGAGAGGGCGTCAAATTCCTGTTGTTTAAGCCACCCAGTCTGTGGCCCTTCGTTACGGCAGCCCTAGCAAACACGAATGCGTTGCTACCGCCGCTACTAAAGGCATTTTCCGAGTGCCGATTACGTTTTGTCATTGTGCTGAACAAATTACAAATATTATCTCGCTTAATCCTCGCATGACCTCAAAGAGTAGGTGCTGTTATCATCCTCGTCTGCAAACGGGGAAACCGAGTTTATTTTAGTTTCCCAGCAGCAGGAGCGGCGTGTAGAGGAGGCGCTCTGCCCATACTGATGAAAGGACGGAAGCTCAGACGCGTCAATGAACTTGGCCAGGTAGCCAGCAAGAGGCAGAGTGGGAGTTTAACCTAAAGCTGTCTGCATCCTAATCCCGTGCCCTTAACCACACGCTGCGTGGGGTCAACTACAGCCCCAGGAGACCCGTCCGAGCCAGGACTTGGCGGTTCTAAGAAGGGAATGCTGGATTTTTCTGACGGGGCCGTGGCTACACGCAGGTGTTCAGAGCCTGCAGTGAGCTGAGTTTGTTCGTAACCCAGACTCACTAAGAAGGACCCCGGCACTGGCCGGCAGTTGGGGCAGTGTCCACACTCCCTGTGGCCCGCATGTGTCCTTGGGGGAAGCTCCCATGCCCTTGGCTTTTATCATGTGTCCTTGGCATGGCCGGAGCCGATGACATCAGAAATAGGGGGGTCCCCCCCATCCCGTTGCCTTGCCGGCTCCCAGCCTCCCCAGCCTCTACTCTTCCCCAGAGAACCTCAAGCCTCCTCCTGGGGCAAGGAGAGGCCCCGAGTACCTTGTATCCCTGGTTGATGCCGTTGATGAACTGGGGGCTGGGGGCGTTCCAGGTGAAGCGGATGGTGGTGGAATTGGTGGCTTCAGCATGCACGTTGCCCGGAGGGACGGTGGGCACTAGAGGGGAGGAGAGAGGCCGGGGTCGGGGCGGGGGCCGATCATCCACCTTGCCCCGCTCAGAGGAGAAAACACAGGGGTGGGGGCTGCAGACGCTGCTTTGCCCGCCCCCCCCAGCTCTTCCCCTGCTGTGCAGACGTAAGACTCTCTCTGGATTGGCTTGGGTTTAATCAAACCTGCCGGATCCACCACACGGGGTACCGACACATAAAAGGGATGAAGACGAGACATGCTCTGGGCGGTTTTCAGGTGGGATGTTAGGTGCGAGCTACTCTGTGACCCAGTTAATGTGAAATCCGTGGAAGGCCCCTACATCCCTGAAGCCTCCTCCCTCGACCCTGTGCAAGCCTCCCGGCTCTTCGTCTCCCCCTCTGTCCTCCCGCCCTCTGGGGGCAGCTGGGCGGGGCGTGGTGCTTCCAGCCCCAGAGAGCAAGCGTGAGGGCCCCGTTAAGACAGGTGAGGTAGACTGAGGCTCTGGGGCCCGACGGGCACAGGGTGTGGGGGAAGGGGGAGCACCCGCCCCTGCGAGGCCACTGTCCCGACCCACCTCCCTGCAGTGTCCACTCCGTGACCTTGCTGCTGTAGACGCCCAGGCCCGCGCTGTTGTAGGCGGCCACCTCGATCTCGTAGTTGGTCCAGATGATGAGGTCCTCCAGCAGCAGGTTGTTGACATCGGCGTCTGTGATATTCTTAAACTGGTACCCAACGGGCAGCCCGGCCAGGCAGTATCTGGGGAAAGAGGCAGGGGCGCAGCGGACTCGGGGTCAGCTTGCTCCGCCTGGTGCCCGGGGAACTGCCTGGAGCAGTGGCGTCCCGCAGAGCTTTCTGTGACGGTGGGAGGGTCCCACCTCCTGTGACGGTGGGAGGGTCCCACCTCCGTGCTGTCCACCGGGGCAGCCACTAGCGCATGCGGCCATTGAGCCCTTGAAATGTGGTAGTGCAACTGGCGAACTAAATTTGAGTTTGGTATATTTTAAAATATAGTTAACCCTCAGACAACATTGGTTTGAACTGCATGGGTCCACTGACATGTGAATTTCTTCTTATTATTTTTTTTTTGAATCAGAGTCTCTCTGTTGCCCGGGCTAGAGTGCCGTGGTATCAGCCTAGCTCACACCAACCTCAAACTCCCGGGCTCAGAGCGATCCCTCTGCCTCAGCCTCCTGAGTAGCTGGGACTACAGGCATGCGCCACCATGCCCACCTAATTTTTTTCTATATATTTGTAGTTGCCAATTAATTTCTTTCTATTTTAGAAGATAGGGCGCTCGCTTTTGCTCAGGCTGGTCTCAAACTCCTGAGCTCAAGGATCCACCCACTTGGCCTCCCAGAGTGCTAGGATTACAGGTGTGAGCCACCACAGCCTGCCTGAATTTGTTTCAATAAATATATTGGAAAAATTTTTGGAGATTTCTGACAATTTGAAAAAAAATCTGAGATAAACTATGTAGCCTAGACATTAGTGCAAAAGTTAAGAAAAGGAGCCATAAATGCATAAAATATATAAAATATACTGGGTTAACTAACTGTTTAGGTCATCGGGACAGGCTTCCGGTCAACAGTAGCCTATGAATAGTTATTGTTAGTTTAGGAGTCAAAAGTTATCCATGAGATTTTCAACTGTGCAAGGAGTCGGTAGCCCTAACCTCATGTGTTCAAGGGTCAGCTGCAGTTTGAAGAGCCTTAGTGACTACGTGTTACCTTACAGGACAGCACAGGTGCAGAGGATGTGTCTGGCCTATTCTTTCTGATCGGGGGAGGAGGAAGGGTGGGGGGCTCCCAGGGAAAGCTGAGAGCTGCAGGGGTATTCTGCGGGTCCTCAGCCTTTGCGGTCACTGACAGGACAGCAGTCCCCTGAACGGCTGGGCTAAGCTCCTTCTTGCCTCCAGGACAGTGCTCTCTCTGCCTGTCACTCTCATGTAGCGTGGAGCAAAAGGCCACCTGGGGTACCTTACTCCTGAGCATTTCTTCCTCCAACTGCGAAAACGGAGCTCATTTATCTAAAGAAGGTGCGATCTGTATAAAGCAAACACAAGGAGGATGGTAACCACATGGAACCACAAATGCTGCAACCCTTTGATTAATTATTGGAAAATTAGGGGGCCCAAAATTCTGCCATTACAGATACTCCATGGCAGTGGTTATTAAACCTTAGAAATGCACCCAACTCCTCCTGGATGACTTTAAAATGCACAGATTGCCTGGCCCTCATCCCAGTTCGACATAGGAGGATTTGGAACGAGAATTCAACTTCACATGAACACAGTTCCCGGTTACCAATACCGCGTCTGGGGAAGAACACTAAACAAAACCATAGGAGGACACCCAACATCGATGGAGCAGGCCCAATCACAACAAAGGCTCTTCCACGTTTGGGGAATTCCCATGCTGGGAGATGTACACGTAAAGGACATGTACGGGTGCAGGAGATATGCACGTGCAGGACACGTGCGTGCAGGACATGTATGGGTGGAGGAGATGCGTGTGTGCAGGACGTGCGTGTGCAGGACATGTATGGGTGCAGGACATGCGCATGCAGAACATGACGGTGCAGGAGATGTGCATGTGCAGGACATGTGTGTGCAGGACATGTACGGGTGCAGATGTGCGCATGCAGGCCATGCGTGTGCAGGACATGTACCTGCAGGACATGTACGGGTGCAGATGTGCGCATGCAGGACATGCGTGTGCAGGACATGTACCTGCAGGACATGTATGGGTGCAGGAGATGTGCACGTGTAGGACATGCGTGTGCAGGACGTGTACGGGTGCAGGAGATGCATGCGTGCAGGAACGGGACACCTGAAGTTGCTTTTAGCGTTTTGCAGCAGCCAGAATCCAGAATATGGACGATAGGTCTCAGCAACTTCAAATAACATGCAAATTTGAATTTTTGAATATCACATTTTGTGATCCTTAACAACTGACTTTTAGGTTGCTAGTAAGAAGTCCCCATTCAAGCATAAAGGTAACAGTCTATATAACTGGGCTTCATTTCCAGTAAGGACCAAAGAAAGAACTTTCGTTTTCCAATCAATTCTTGGCTAATTTTTACTGTCTCCACCCACGGTTCATCTTGAGAGAAAGCTGGCCTGCGGTGGAAGAGTCTCCACTTCCCAGGTGACTGGCCCTGCGATGGTTACCTCTCTTCTCCTGCCTCCCTGTATGTCTGCGCCTACGTCAGCTCTGACATACGGCAGACTTGTCCTTCCACGTGGCCTTAGGTGACTAAGCGGTGGCTCCTCTCTCAACCTTTCCTGCTGGTTCCCAAGGCTCTCGTGGCTGGAAGTTCTTCTAGGTGTTAATCTGCGCTAATCCTTGCCTGACACAGTGCGAGGCATTCTTTGTGGCCCTGGTTGCCTGTGTTGGAGAATGGGGCCTGCCATGAACCTGCACCGTTCTCGTCGTCCCGAGATCGTTTCCGCAGCCTTTCCTCTCAGGCTTTGGGCCTCGTGCTCCCCAGGGGGTGGGACAGACACCTACTGATTGATGTAGCCCTGAGCGGAGTCCTTCGCTCGCGGGCTCTCGGGGAGGCGGCTGCACTGGATCCATGGATGGATGTTGGTCGGGCCGCTGGCGAGTGCATTCGTGCTGGGAGGGGCCGGTGGGGTTCCTCGGGGAGTTGGAGGGGATCCCTGCGATCAGAAAAACACCGTGCTTCTTAGCTCCTGCGGCGGCGAAAATACAGGGAGTCTGAATGGGAATTAGGGGCTCTTCCTAGTCTTTGCTACTTGCTGCACAACTGCTGGTGTGCTGGTTTGGGGCAATCAGCGGTGTACCTGCTCTGAGGCTGGGTATTATGCTAAGGAGAGGACGAAGACGGCTCTGGGCGCCGCGACAAATGCGAGAGCGACGTGAGCAGAGCGAAAAACACTATAAAACACCACGCCGAGGTAATGGTGGGCGACTGAGGGATTGCCGCAGGCCCAGTCAAGAAGGCGCAGCGAATGCGTGGTGCGAGCCGCGGTGGCCGCCGTGAAGTATTTTTGAGCCAGAATGATGTAAAGGGTCAACATCCCGGCTGCCAGCTGGCGGACTGCACCTTAATGAAGCCACCTGCTGCCTGACCTGCTGATGCCCGGCGCCTGGCGGTGGCGCGTGGGGCGTGCCCGTGGCACGGGGCGAGGCCGCCCAAGGCCCAGCCGCCCCCGCGCTGGAGCCCGGGGTATGACATGGTGTTCCTCTGGCATCGCCTACGCGGAATGCGGGGGTTCGCCAAGCGTATTGCTTGGCAGCACTGGACATGGGATGGCATGGAGAAGAAGAGAAATTATGTGGGATGGATGTCGTTTCCGTTGGTGGTGTTTGTTGTTGACGTTTTGTGCTTTCTGAGGGATCGCTTTCAGAGAAGCGACGCGCGCACTCCCATGTCTCGTGAGAACGAAAGTGAGGGCTGGTTGAGCCTGGGTCTGGACGAGCTCGGGGCTGGTGAGGAAGACCACAGGAAGTCGACGGGTGTGTGCCGGGGCGAGCCCGGGGGCAGGGAGAGCAGCACGGGTCCCCATGACACGCAGGGTCCAGCTGCTGGGAGTACTGCACTTGCGGGAGGAACTGGGGCGCGGTGTCCTGTTCGGTTCCGGCGCCACTCCGGGGGGTCAGGGGTGGCCAGGGCATGTAGGGTGTGACTCAAGCCACGGTGAGTAACTGTAAGTCCCCCGCTGCCGCCTGCTCTCCAGCACGGGGTGCCACCTGTCACTACGTTCCCTCTGGTGAGCTGCCTTGAACGTCGCCCAGGTGGTGTCACCTGGGTGAAAGCCAGAGGAGACCCACCCAGACTGCCTCATCAGAACGCGGGCAAAGCCACAGCGACGCACGTGAAGCCAAGGGCCCTCTATTGTGGCGCACCGCTGAGGGGTGTTTCTGAAGCAGCCGGATGTGCACGGTCTCTCGCACACGATTGTAATGTGCGTCACAGCCGTATGCATCTCTCACACGCCTGTGTTTTTCCCCTAGAGGGTTAGAGCAGCCGCGCCGCTCGCCGGGATTGAGCGGATGATTGTGCTTCCGCACAAATGGGTGCTCTGCCCGATGCTCGGAGACGGGCCACCTGCTGTTTTTATTCAAGTTCCATCATTTTAAAGAAAGCTTTGCTGGGAGCCTAAGGGAGTCTGGCACCGTGCAAGGCCCTGGGTGTGGAGCTGCGTGGGGACGTGGCGCCCCCCGGGAACGCCGCAGCCATTTGGCAGCCCAAGGGGCCGCAGAGCCCAGCGAGGCCAGGCGAGGCTTTGCACCTGCGCGGCTCACAGCGACGGGGTCAGCGTTCACCCGGCGCCGCGGCGCTCTGCACGCGCCGGCCCGCTTCCTCTTTGCAGCAGCCCCGGGAAGTGGGATTGCTACTCCCCTGCCACGGCGGGAGCCGTGGAGACGCCCCCCGAAGAGCGCCTGCCCCTCACCTCTCCGTGTCCTTGCTGAACTGCCCTTTCCCGACATCGTTGACGGCACAGAGACGGAACTGGTAGGAGCGCGCGGGAACCAGCCCCTTGACGGTCACCGAGGTGGCTTCGGGGTCCACGCTGGCCAGGAGCACAGTCCAGGGGGCATCTGCAGCCACAGAGGGTGGGGGCGGAAGTGGGCATCTTGTGTGTGTCGGGGGCACAGTGCCAGCTTCTGACGCCCCGTCCCCAGCAGGGGCCCAGCCCTGTTTGGGCTGGCAAGAGAGGACCTCCCCGGCTTGGTCCAGCAGAGGCCGGCCACTGTCATTTTCTAGGTCCCATCGGCCGCGTGGCCCCA